GCAGTTTGTAGCCAAGGAGGGAGCACTGGGGGAGCAGCTCCCCAGCAGCAGCCAGCTGTGCTGGCCAGGGGTGCACAGAGCAGAGCAGGGGAAAGTGGGATGGTCCCTTTGCTGCACCTAGGGGGACACTGCCTCCTTTGCCTTCATGCTCCAAACACACAGTGACCTAATTTACAAAATTAAAGATTAAATCAATCTTTCACTAACTTGAACTACCTTAGTCTGCTAGAACATTTGTTCATTATTCAGGTAGTATATACAGCCACAGCAGGGGCTTTATTGCTTATTTGCACAACTCCTGTTCTGGCTGAAAGGATTGGCAGTTTGTACCTGGTAAGAGCCATCAACGAGTAAAATCGCTCTAATCCTGTATTCTGGAAACTGTCTTAAGCTTTCTGAAGCTTGTTCCATTTCCACACACCATGTGACCCAGATGTCATATCCTAGAAATCAAACAATTTAATTTTAGAAGAAGGAAAACCTGAATCCACAGTTAAACACTAGGCTGTGTTTTGTTGGCACAGAGAGGAGTCAATACCAGAGGCCACCACCTGACTCCAACAGAAAATTTCTGTCTGAGCCTAGGGAAACCAGGGATTTGGCATCAAGAATCATTACCATGATAAATCATTTGCAAAACCAAAAAGCACAAGTGCTCTCTGCATTTCTGGCCTTCAGCCTCAGCATTTATTTAGCTCAGAGTATAGTTTCATGTTGTAAAAAAGGTTTGTCTTTTATTCTGCCTTGAACAATCTCTCACTGTGTTAAATGAGAACTTCACATGAGAAAAAAACAGCAGAATTAGTCACTTCCATCTCATTTGCCTCTGTTTGTCAGTTGAGAAATTATATGATAGCTGAATAACTAAATGCTGCTGAACTCCAAGTACTTTACTGTGATATATTTTTTTAAGTGTAATTTTCATCAACATCCAGCACTGGCCTAACTTATTTCACTAACATTAAAGGGATTTGGACTTCTAAGTCATTCCCAACTGTATCAAAAAAAAAGGATTTAGAAAAAATATTCAGTATTGCTGTGTCTTTCTGCAGTCCCTTTTAAGTTATGACCCTCTTACTAATACTATGAAATTTGAGGAGCAGGGAAGGCCAGCAACAAACTAGGTGGGAACTGTAGGAGCTAGCCTTGAGAAATGCTGAGGAGACAGGTTCAACACAAATGCTGCCTGTCCAAAGGACTTAGGCACATTTTTCTACTTGGGATTCCTAGCTGGAAATTCCCTCCTAAGGTTCAAGCACCAAGCAAATGCTTCCTCTCCAAACCAAACCAGTTTCCTCTCTTTCTGCGCAATACTCGTGATCAGGAGATAAACACAAGAAGTGCCAGATTTACCTGGAGAAACTTGTTATTTCTCACTTTCAAAAAGATAACCCAATTGCCTCAAGGCTATAGCCCTATTTATTCTATGCACTCTTTTGATTGGAGATTTGACTTCAGATTCCCCACACCTCAGTATGTCCAGCCACTGGCCTACTGAAGAAATCCTGCCTTTGGCAGTTTTGCTTCCAAAGTCGTGCAGTCTCTATATCTAAGAGCTGTATTGTGGGCTGGACACACAGTTCCTTACCACTGTCATGACTGAGGTAGTCCTCGTCATGCCTAGAGGCTGTTTGGCACCTAAATGGCTGGTGGAAGGTGGAGCCGTGAGGACTTTAAATGCAAAGTTATATGGCAGCAGAGCAGAATTTTGAGTATCTAATTTTAGATGTAGGTGCTTCAGTTAGCAAATAGAACACTGCAGCACAGTCTGCAGCATCATATGTGTAGCTATGTCCATACTGACTTTAAACATGCCTATTTAAGCATCAGAATGGAGACAACAGGCAGCAGTGTAAATTATTGAGTGCTGTTCTCTCTGCATTGCTTTGGTATCAAGCTAATCCAATTAAGCCTCTGTCATTACTTTATTGTTATTATTATTACACTCAGCATGCAAGACAGTGCTGTGTACACAAGGAACTCACACCTCCATTTGTCTGTGCAGACCTAACTTCATGACTGTGATTTTACTTCCAAATTGGGCTATATGGAAGCTCCTGTTTTCAAAAATGGCAAGCAACATATCATCTTCAACATCAAAATCAGCTGTGAAATGTAATACTGTTAATTGGGAAGCAAGAATAATTTATTTCAATTGTGGATTTGATATTACCAAATTAAATTAATGGTACAACATAAATAAAAAACTTCAATATGCCATTAGGCACTTAGGGCAAGATCCAGGCTGTTTTAGTCTTAGTCTTTTAAATGCATTTTTAATCATTAATTTAAAGGTAGAAGAGTTAATACAGCATTAAGTATCAATTTCTGCATACAGGACCAAGAAAGCAGGACAGTGTACTCTTTAAATGGGACCACTTTTTCCGAATAGACATTAACTGAGGCTTTTTCATGCACAGTTGATTTTGTATAAGCTGATTGACACCTCTGGGGGTCGTCTTTCCACTGACTCATAATTTTGCTCACTCTTGAAAAAAGCCGCCTGCACACCTAGTATTCTCTAGTTAAAGCTGAAAATTCAACTCATCATATTTACACAATAAAAAAAAAACAACATTCTGCATTGTTTTTAATTGCAAATCCTACTCAAGGGACCAATCCTCCTGCTTAGGAGGCAGCCCAGTGCCTTCTACCAGGGAACCAACTGCAGTCAATTATGGTAATGAAATGTCAATAAATATAAAAATTTAATACAGCCTGCTCTTGGTGAGTGGCAGATGAGGACTTGCCTCCCAGACAAATTTGCTGGTGCTGCAAATATTAAACGCACCTGAAAGAGCAGCAGGTTGCCTAAGAGCTCTCCAGTAGAGGGATGGTGGGAGATCCAGGCATCTACTGGGCTTTTTCATTATGGCATAATCACTGCACTAAGGCCACTGATATTCTTGACATCCAGACATCTTAACTTCTTATTATGAAGTAAGTAGCATGTTTTCCCCCCAAACTGAAACCCCAGTGAGGGATTTTGAGCTTTTTGCCTCGTTAACAATTACAAAAGGGAAATTAAGTTGTGAAAGTTGATATTTTTATGTGACCAGTTTTTCAATATGAAGTATTTGAATCGTGTCACTATATTAAATGTCTCTTCCATTAAAAAGTATTTGAGGCATGTAACTTCATTTTTTCTTATTTTTATGTATGTATACTTACATATAAAGAAATATGTGTGAGTGTACATATAGAAAGAGAGAAATAACAAGAAATAACTAGAAAGTAGTTTATGCAAGATGTTTCAGCTGGGACTTCTGAAGATCAGATCCTAGTTTTGTCATAGATTTCTTTGGCCCTAAATAAGTAATTTAATGTAACTACTTCAGTTTTCCCAGGTGTAAAATGGAATAAAACCTACCTCACAACGTACTTAAGCATAATTTGATAACTTAATTGAAACAAGCACAACTTTAAATGCTTTGTACAGTTGGAGCAGTTTTACTCTTAACATCCATACTAAAAGCATTACTTCATTCTTCTTGTGCAGTTGCCTTCAATCAATGTCTTAGGAACACTAAGAGTACAGATAAAATGTCTTTTTAAAAGTCAGTAACCTATTGATTATATTAAGGTTATGACCAGGAGAAGTTATTTTTATTTCTTTTCAGTCATCTCTCTGTCTTTCCTAGGCAAAACTTTGTCAGGCTTAAAGTCTTTCAGGTTGTTTGTTGTTGTGGGTTTTTTTCTTGCTTTACTGTTTATATATAAGCAAAATCAATTAAATAATTAAACAAAACTAAACAAAAACCACTCATATTTTGAAATACATGTTCCCTAACGATTTGGTGTGGTTTGTTTTTTTTTAATACATTTTAAGGAATCAGTGCCTGGAAAAACAATATTTTGCAGAATTGGTCTGTTTCCTTTGGTGATTGCCTGGATGTTCTTTATTAACTACTTTACTATGGTATACCTTAAAGATAGGTTTAGAGCACTGATACCTTTAAGCAAATCATTAGCCCCAAGTGTGCACCTACCATTGTGCTTAGTCTTAGTTTAGAGCCAGGCTTCACTTACATGTGCCTACATGAAGTATGGTCAGCAATTTCCCTGTTGCAGTAACTCCTAAAAGAGGAAAGTGTTGGTAAAACTAGAGCACCCAGGCAAGAAGAGGTTTTTTAATTTATTTTTTTGTTTGGGTTTTTGTTTGTTTGTTTGTTTTTTAATGTGGCAATAATCCATTTCGGTCTCAACCAGTTAGCCAGGAGCAATTCAACACAGGAGCAAGCAATACACCTGGCCATTTTCATGGGGCAGTGGCACTTGTAGGGAATGTGCAACACTCGAATGAAAACAGGTCTGAACTGAAGGCATTTCTGCTGAAGCAGATGTGCCCTGCTCCATGCTGCTGTCACTGCTTCTCCTTTGCTAGCTGGGGAGGACTCACCAGAACAAGTCAGTTGGAACCAGCTCCCAACAAATACCAGGATTTTTTGTAGCTAAGGAGAAGAGAAACCACCCACACAGTACCTCTGTTTCCTGTGGGAATACACCAACATCTTTGGGCTTGAATAGATGTTTCTGGCCAAGTATGGACATTGGATCATTTCCCACGAGTGCTGTTATATCCCTCCGGTGTAAAAGACCCAGAACAGGCACAAACTCAATTCATCAGTCATTCTTCACAGGATCATACAACTACAATGAGAACAAGAGATGCCAAATGAATAAAACTAACTGACAGGGGGAGAGGTACTATTGTCATAAGCAGTTGTCATATATAAAGCTTAAAAAAAAGGCTAATAAAGACAAACCAGCATTCACACCAGTGTGAGATACCATTGAGATACGTAGTTTAAGAATATTTTCAATATATACCATTGTGCTAAACCAGATTTTTATATAAAATCATCTTCACTTGATAACATCATTGAACTGAGAGTGATTCTTTTACTCAGGAATATTCTGGTTGTTTGTGATTGTTTGAAACATCATTAAGTGGTTCTGCAGTTGTGACAACCAGACAGAAATACAATTCTCTTTTGCAGGTGGATTATTCCATAATAGTATCCCAAGCTGGAGCTACCCTCAACAATCTTATGAGCCATGCACAAGAACTAGTAGCAAAACTTCGTTCCCTGCAGTTTGATCTACGAGAATTTGTATGCCTCAAATTCCTGGTGCTGTTTAGTTTAGGTAGGTACAAGCTACTCTTCATACCTTACTTAATAATGTTATTCTTTTTTTATAAATGCATTGAAGTTCTTTTTCCTGAAAAACACGGTTTTGTAAATATATTTAATGAGGTTCACAGTAATCTGAGGATCATATTTTAATTATCACTTGCAGAAAAAGAATGCATAAGGATTAAAATTGGGTTTGTATGCAAACAACTCCTAAAACCTCTAGAATTTAAGAAGGATTTCTGTATTTCTATGTGATTTCTGAATATTGCAGAACAAGGATAAAATTCTGTTACAAATTCTAGAGAACAGTGAAAAATACAGGTTGCCATGGCTTTCTATGATATTGAAAGTAGCTATGTAAAGCAGACGGAGTGGGGATATAGTTGAAACATCCCTCTTTTTCAAAGGCATCTGTGGTAAGTACAATCTGTTTTGCATATGATGGCTGCCACATCATAACCCGTAAGTCAGGAATGTATCTCACAGTTTTTAAGAAGTTAAAAGAACTCATAAAGTGTAAATTAACGATAATAGCTTTATGACAGATCTGGCTAGGAAATAACCTTTAAAGGGAAGATTGTTTTGAGCTAGCGGAGAGGACAGAGAATGGAAAAGATACCTATGCCAGACAAATTAGTGAATCAAATGCCCTTCAATGAATCAGTCAAGAAAAATCACCTGTGCCAGGAATAAAAAAAAAGGCTTAGGGAGACAGATTCCTGTTGGCTTCATAGGAACAGATTTTTCAGATTTGCACTTTGTTGACTTAATAAAGCTGGTCTAAATAAACTTTGGCCAAGTGATTTTTTATTTACTGGCAGACAGTGAAGACTTGAAAACATAAATAAGGTCAGATCCTGCCATATCTCCACAGCCCAAACTCCTGTTTAACTCAAAAGCAATTTTGGTTACAAAGAGAATGAACAGTTGAGCCAAGCACAACAAAAAAAGAAAAAAGAAAAAGCAGCAGTGATGACATTCAGTAATGTTTTTCTTTAACTTTCAGGGGTTTTTAAAATCTTCTATGAAGGAATAAAATTCTACAAATAAATTATTATAATGCCTTCACAGTTTTGGTTACACTGTAAAGCATCAATTACTGTCTTAAATATGTTCCTCCATGTCATCTTTATGAATTTGAAACTGTTTTGTAGAATTTTAGGTGAAGCCCTCTTTAAATACAGAGTGCATAAAAGATCAGTACTTCAGAATTATAGGACACAAAACATAGAGGGAAAAAATAATTAAAAATTAGAATGATGCTAACAGAATTGACTGTTACGAACTTTGTACATTATGAATCCCAGGAAGAGATGATGGATTTCCCTAGTAACTATTAGCATTTCGCTTTAAGGGTTTCATTTCTTCCCACATCTTAGATTCAGAGAAGGAAAAGCAAGCCACCCATTGTAGAAATCATGTTTTATGAATTAATCTAATGAATAACAAGAACTCAGATTTCATAATTCCTAATAAGTAGGTTTTTTTGTCATTAGACAGTGGCAGAGAAATGTCTAAAGACTGTAGCTTTCCACTGATAAAATACTTAGAAAATTCATCTCAGTTCAGTGATGTTTTAAATTAGCTGAATAAGTAAAGTGCTTTTTGAAAATTCTCACATTTAGGTGGCCTTTTTGTTTGATCATGTTAATTGACACTTCTAATACTTTTTAGCAATTCAGGAATCATTCTTACACCTTTAGCACTTCTAATTCTGCCAGGTAGTTTGCTCAACTTCTGAAGAAGCTGGGTGGGAATACCTTGCAAGCTTGTACTGAGTCAGATTATCCAGTTTTTGTCTCATTTGTGTTACTGTAAAAAGAGCTAATTCTGCTGCTGGTAGGAGCCTTGCATGTAAAAGTGATGTAGCTAAGAAAAGTTCAACACCAAAACTCACTAGTTAATTATTTACCTTACTGCATAATTCCATTTGTTAAGAGTCAAAGTTTGACATTATTCTAACAGAGTAAAAGGTAAAGATGTCACCACCTGACCCACAGAGGCAAGTACTTAATGCAAATTATGACAAAACTGAAATGAAAAACACAGACACACTTTCCAGATAAGCACTTCAGCTTGTGCCCAGAAGTATGAAGGAATCATCTGGCTAAAATGAATAAGATTCTTCATATCCGACAAGGGAATCAGGTTTGTGAAAACATTGGTGTGCCTAACAACACAGCTAGGCATTCAGCAGAGGTGTCAAAATTACCTAAGCAAAAAATTCTACATAAATAACCAGAAGCAATTATTGTACCTTAGTATCTAGGTGCATTAGATACATACCTACATCTCTGGTAGAAAACTGCCAAAAATGCCAAAAAGATGTCTCTTTATCAAAAATATATTTCAAAAACCTCAGCTGTCTGATTTTAAGAATATGGTCCTATAATGTTTAATGGAATAAAAAGTGCTTGAAACCATAGCAGACTTTTAACATTTCTAAGGGTGTTTACGCCACAGTGTTAACCAAGCCAATAACACTGTATGCTATTGTTCTTTAGTACAGTGCTTGGTTGAAAGGTATATGTCTAATATAAAGCTTCTCAAAGGCAACACAAACTCAATAATCCACAGAATTAATTTATTGAGAAGAAACTGTTTGGTTTTTACAACCATACATATATGGTGCCTTGTAAAGCTATTTGTTATTCATAGCTGTACCATACTGTCTGTCTCTTCACAATAGGGCAGTCTCTTTCAAGGCAAAGAACTTTGCCTTTTTTCTAGTATTTCAGAAGCTAAGATCTTAGTAAACTATCAGTAAAATAATGTTCAAAACACAAACCACTTACAATAATTTTTCAAAACACAATTAAGTCATAACAGTTTTGCTTGTTAGATTTTAAATGAGGTAATAGTTTGTTATCTACTTGACAAAGGTTCCAAAGGGTTTATACAGGAACCTGCTTTTGATTTATAGAGGCATAAAGATGATGATGTTGAAGCTTAGACAGATGCATATTTATAGTAACCTTTGCAGCTAGCAGTGCACAACTCTTCCTGCAATCATACTGCATGTACCACTCCAGTGAGTGACACACCAAGGCACAGGAGTCCAGCTCCTTTCTCCAGTGGGCCACCTAGTCTGTCTGTGCCCATCTGATCAACACGGCCAAGTACATAATGATACGGTTGATTCAGCAATCACTCAATAAACCAGAACAGTTTGGTCAATAAGCCAGAACTAGTTTACATATGACATACCTTCTGTTTAGGACTAGATAGTATTACTATATGTAGAGTTAGGTTACTTCTAAATTTCCTCCATCAGTTATAAAAAGCAAACATAATTACAGCTTGGGAGTTCCCTGCCTGAAATACTGTGTCCAGTTTTGGAATTCCCAAAGCAGGAGGCACATGGAGCTCATGGAGAAAGTCTAGAGAAGGGACACAAAGATGATCTGAGGGCTGGAGCACCTCTCCTACAGACAGGCTGAGAGAGCTGGAGATGTTCAGTGTAGGCTCTGAGGAGACCTCATAGCAGGCTTTCAGTACCTGAAGGGGCAACCAGAAAGCTGGGGAGGGACTTTTTACCAGGTTGTGTAATAATAGGATGAGAGGTAATGGTTTTAAGGTGGAAGAGGGTAGATTCAGGTTCAACATGAGGAAGAAATTCTTCAGTGTGAGGGTGGTAAGACACTGGAAGAAGTTGCCCAAGGCAGTTGTGGATGCCCCCTCCCTGGAAGTGTTTAAGGCCAGGTTGAATAGGGCTATGAGCCCCATTGGCCCATGCAGGGGAGTTGGAACTGGATGATCTTTAATGTCCCTTCCAACCCGAACCATTCTATGAATCTGTGAAATAATACATTCAGATGCTGATTGAATGTTTTATTTGAAGATGAGTAGGACTTCTGAGGCCAAAGTATTTTATTGCAAAGGAGCAATCAGTCTAGCAGCATTATTCCTTTGAATGAAGTCTTCTGGTTGGGTTGTCTAGAAATACCAATTTCTATTATCAAACTCCATTTTAATTATCTTGAGCTATTAGCTTGCTTTGAAGTAAATCAGGACACTGCTTCTGATAGCAATTATCCTTGCCAGCCTTTCTTTCACTGAGCTTTACATCATATTTGCAAACCCCAAATCATGCCTGTTTTGTAGGAGCATCATTCCAGTTTCTTCACCCTAGTCCCAGAGTAATAATACACCTAATTTTTCTATAGGATTTAAGCAGTTTAGCCCACAGTACACATTATCAAAAAGTACACCTAAAAATAAATACACATGGTTTGTCTTTAATGTCTTTGCTGGTCTGAATCAAGATACACTACAGATAGAAAAAAGAAATCTGGCAGCTTATCAGCTTCTTTGAATTGCCATTACTGAAGTTTTACGTTCCTTCTTTTTTTTTTTTTTCATTAATCAAAATTAGAAGCTAAAGACCTACCAACCAAAGAAGCAAAAAACAAAGCACCCCCTGTGTGCTGTTGGAATTCTCCAGTTTTGGAGCTGAAATAGACTGGGATGCTCCACTGGGGTGAAATCGTGGCTTCACCAAAGCCTAGGAGAATTTTGCACTGTTTTTAGTGGAACTAAAATTTGTCTTGCTGTTTCTTTGATTTGTTTGATATGACAGAACCAAGTTCAGATAATATTTTCAGCAATTACATTTGCTAAATCACTACATTTAAATGATGTTTGAAGAACCAAAGGAGTGCCTTACATGTGATACCTTCTATCATCTTCTGACTCAACAGATCTCTTCATTTTACCATCCAGTAGCTTTACAGGCTGGTCACTTAACCTGAAATCAGCCACTGTTTTCTCTTTTACCAAACTTCCCATTTGTCCTGATAGTTTTTATTATCTGAACTCAGCAAGAATGATTTGTCAAACCTACCATCAGAGCAGTTTGTAAAGTGAAATGCCAATAGGAAGAAAGTTAGACATCATTTGACCCATGTCCAGGCACTTGTCTGCCTGTGAAGCTAAATGCTAGACTAGGCAGGAGCTGACTGGTACTGCTCCCTTATCATTGTCAGGACACAGATAAATGTACTTCATTTA